AGAAGATAGATAGATAGATAGATAGATAGATAGATAGATAGATAGATAGATAGATAGATAGATAGATAGATAGAAAGAAAGAAGATGGATGGATGGATGGATAGATAGATAGATATGAGAGACAGAGAGGATAGATAGAAGATGGATGGATGGATGGATGGATAGATAGATACAGATGGACAGATAAATAGATAGGAGAGAGAGAGGGAGGGAGAGATAGATAGATGAGTGAGAGAGAAAATAGACAGACAGACAGATAGATAGATGAGAGAGAGAAGATATATAGATAGACACAGGTAGATGAGAGAGAGAGAATGAGAATTAGATAGATGAGAGTGTAGGTAGGTAGGTAGGTAGGTAGATAGATAGATAGATATAGATAAGAGAATGTGTATATATATATGTGTGTGTGTGTGTGTGTGTGTGTGTGTGTGTATGTGTGTGTATATATATATATAATATTGAGTAAATAGATATAGACAGATAGATGAAGATATATGTGAAAAGGTGTTTATTTTAAATGTTAAAAGTTGTGAAGGGTTTTATTTTTGTGCTTGGGGTGGGGCGTATCCCTCCCTTCTGAGCCCCCTGTGTTTTTCTTAACGCCTGACCCTTAATAATGGTGGTCTCCCTCCTTCCCTCCCTCCCCTCCTCTGGCAGGAAGGCCCGGGAGAAGCTGGTGGAGGCCTCGCAGTCGATGGGCAACGGGTTCGCCTTCCAGGAGAAGCTCTCCGCCTCCAAGCTCACCTCCGTCCTGGAGGCCGTGGCCGGAGAATTCGCCTTGGTCATCAACGGACACAGCCTGGTACGGAGGGACCCGGCGGCTTTCAGAGCCCAGATCTGGGACTCCCCTTGTAGAATTCCCAAACGGGGGTCTTTAGAGATCATCAAGAGGCTCCCCCCTCCTCCTCCTCCTCACCTCCCACCCTTTTCTCCACCTTCTCCTCTCTCCTTCCTTCCTTCCTTCCTTCCTTCTCTTCCTCCTCCTCCACTCCCTTCCTTGTCTCCATCTTCTCTCTCCTTCCTTCCTTCCTCCTCCTCACCTCCCTCCCTTCCTTTTCTCCATCTTCTCCTTTCTCCTTCCTTCCTTCCTTCCTTCCTCCTCCTCACCTCCCTCCCTTCCTTTTCTCCATCTTCTCCTTTCTCCTTCCTTCCTTCCTTCCTTCCTCCTCCTCACCTCCCTCCCTTCCTTTTCTCCATCTTTTCCTCTCTCCTTCCTTCCTTTTCTTCTTTCCTTCCTTCCTTCCTTCTCTTCCTCCTCCTCCACTCCCTTCCTTGTCTCCATCTTCTCTCTCCTTCCTTCCTTCCTTTTCTTCTCTCCTCCCTTCCTTCCTCCTCACCTCCACTCCCTTCCTTTTCTCCATCTTCTCCTCTCTCCTTCCTTCCTTCCTTTTCTTCTCTCCTCCCTTCCTTCCTTCCTCCCTCCCTCCCTTCCTTCCTTCCTTCCTTCCTTCCTTCCTTCCTTCCTTCCTTCTAGAATGAGAGTAGCCAGTCCTGGCGGCAACAGGAAAGAGAAGCTTATTCAAAGGTAGACTGTTGCCGGCCATGGAGGTGCCATTAAAAAATAATAATAATCATCCTCCCAGGCACGAATCCAAAACACCCGCCTGCTTCCTCACCCACCACCCTCAGCGTTTGCCCCTGATTTCCCCTTCACCCCCCAGGCCCACGCGCTGGAGGCCGACATGGAGCTGGAGTTCCTGGAGACCGCCTGTGCTTGTAAAGCGGTCATTTGCTGCCGGGTCACCCCCCTGCAGAAGGCCCAAGTGGTGGAGCTGGTCAAGAAGTATAAGAAGGCTGTGACTTTGGCCATCGGCGATGGCGCGAACGACGTCAGCATGATCAAGAGTGAGTCTCGCGTTCTTATTGTATATTAAATAGGCATGCCAATTTAATATATACCAAATCATGCCCTTCAATCTTCAGTATTCTGTCCTCTGGTTGAGTTGATCCAGCCGCTAATTGTTGATAAAGCTACTGCTTCATAATATAATTTTAAGTTGGGCATTCCCAAACCTCCTCTCTCACGTACGCCTTGCATTATTTTAAGTTTTATTCTTGGTTTCTAACCCCTTCTAGCACAGACAAATTTATTAATCCCCTTCTGCCATTCTTCCAAATGTGCACCTTTTTTTTTTGAGTATTGGTATCATTTGAAAAAAGAAATAAGAACTTAGGCAAAATGTTCGTTTTTACTATCCTTCCCAGCAAAGACAGTTGTAGTTTTTTCCCCCATTTCTTCATCTCTACCTGTATTCTGTGCCATAATGGTTCGTAATTATATAATTTCCCATTTGAGGTTGTAATATAAACTCCTAAATATTTAACCTTTTTTACTGTCTCACATCCTGTTATTCTTTCTAGTTCTTCTCTTTGATTCGTGTTCATATTTTTAACTATCATCTTTGTTTTGCCTAGATTTGTTTTAAACCCAGACACTTGACCATATTGATTAATCATGTTCATTAAAGCTGATTAATCGTGTTCATTAAAGTTGGTTTCCCTGGTTGGGTTAGATGAGAGAGAGAGAAAATAGATAAGAGACAGACAGATAGATGAGAGAGAGAGAGGATAGATAGATGATAGATAGATAGATAGATAGATAGATAGATAGATAGATAGATAGATAGATAGATAGATAGATAGA